TCATCCCTTGATCTGAACCCGTAGTGACAGGCTGGAGTGAACACCATCCTTTCGCTTCCTCATTTCCTCAAGGCCTCTTTGTTGAGGTTTATCGTGTTGGCCAAACTGAACGGGAATACGGGCACAATGGCCTGTCAGACCAGAAGCGCAGACAGGACGAATATTCAGAAGAGGAGGTCAGAAATGGCAAACACTCAGAACCGAAGGCCGAACACGATGGTCACACTAAATGGAAATGCAGAGCCAGACTTGACGGCCTCACTGAACAGAAAGGAAGAGCTGTCGAGAGTCAAACTAGCCCCTAGCTGAGGAGTTCATATTACCAATCATTCCGAGCATCTGATTTCAAAGGTACAACAAGCAATCCGTGCAGTCTCTTGTCCTCCTCCCACTCCTCTGTTTTGCTTTTTCTGGTTATGGCCAGTACGCTATTGACCTGTCTCTGACTCTATGCTAACCTTTCAGATGGAGAGAGGTTTCAGGTCGGGGAGCCATCAGCTCGCTCAGATATCTATCCTACATACTGTCCTGTCTTGTGAAGGGCGCGCTGGCATTATCATCGTCACTGTCAACACCATGAAAAGTCATTCTTCACCGTCCTTTCTGGTCTTCGGTCAACCGGTTCCCCTCTAGCTGTGCACCCTTTGACCACCTCCACAATCCCCGAACCATTGTCGTTAGTGTCCCTCATTCAATGGCTGTAGAGCTGCCCTCCCCCCTATCAATCGCTTCCCTCCATTGCACGTCTTCACGCAGAGAGCCTACGGAAGTCAAGAAATTGTAATGTGGGGTCCGATGTAGCCGCTCGCGGTTCTTACCTTGTAATAACCAGTTTACAAGGTAAGCAACTTTTGGCGAGACTCCTGTCTGGTCACGCCAGAAGGGTACTGGTTGACCAACGGGCTTAGCTCAGTCGGTACGCCAATAAACCACTGAAACGCAGTCTTACGTTCGAATCCAGATGGAACCGGATGAACGAAATTCCTCGAATTGCCAGGAGCCAGTCAGTTTCACAATGATATCTGAAGGCGGTCGCCCTTCTGAAAAGAAGTAAAGAGAAAATGGAAACAAAAGAAAAGCAGGGTACAGGTACCCAGCCAGTTTGGCTGAATGGGACACACAAGTGACTGCGAGTAAACGGATCGTGAGTTCAAGTCCTGATTGAGTCAGATGGATACAATAATCCAAGGGGGCTACCCCTTAAACCACTAGTACCTTTGCCGAGTGGGAAAATAGCAGGCCTTGGGTGGGCCTCCGACCTCTTAGGAAGGCTGAAACTAAACGACAGCTGCTGATGTGATTTATCAATCGCGGCCATCTCGGGCCCGGCCTCTGAACTCCTCGGGAACAGCTCATTTTCCCTAATTTCCCAATACTGGCAGAGTCACTAGTGCTTTAATGAATGAATGAAAGAAAGAAAGAGGAAAAAAAGAAGGGTACTGGTTGGTAGTTGTGCCACACTGCCAATGAGTAACGAGTGCCCTTATCCAGTTGTAATCATTGAAAAGCAGTCGTAATTATTGATGTTTTCCGGTCTGCTTTCTGCAGGTTTGCGAAGCAGTGGAGATTTGTTTGTGCGCACCCAAGGGATGGAACAGTATGAGATATGTCTTTCTTTCTGTATGGTCTTATAGTAAAAGAAAGAAAGTTTTTCGACCTGGATGCTGTCGATAAGCATACACTTGATTTTGTAGTCCAATAAAATTTTATATTTAATTAAGGTTTTAACCTCTCTATCCTTTATTTGTTATATAATAGAACGGTAACACATCTATCGCACGGATGAATTAACGTCCGCTGAATCTGAACGATGACAATGGTTAACAATGATGGATAAGAACGTTCGCCGTGCTGAATTAAGAACTTGCCTCTGTTGCACAATAACATTGACCCTGGTGCATATATAATAACATAAACCATGGTACCAGCGGGCCTAGCCCGTTCGGTACACCCTTGAACTGTTGACATACAGACTCGAGTTCGAATCCAGATGCAACAACCAGTTGAGCAGAATATAAATCATTTTGAATTAACGTATGGGCCCAGTCAGTTCAATGATGACATCTAGAGGATGTCGCCCTTTCGAAAAAAAAGAATTAACGTAAAGCATGGTGAATAAGAACATTCATCAACCGCAGGCTTTGGAGATGGCATCGGACTGGCCAGAGGTCGACTGCCTGTAATGAGTGTGGGAACACCCTGACAGTTGAACAAGAGGCAGCAGTCGTAGTTTGTTTGGTTTCAAGGAGACAAAAAGGAGGGGGGTCATCAAGGAGACAAAACGGAGAGGTCATCAAGAAGACAAAACGGAGAGGTAAGTGCGAGGGGGGGAAGTGCTTTCATCAGATTACAGCAGAAATCTGGATTCACAAGTTTGCCTGGGCGGTGTACTGGTTGTTTGAGAAAATAAATGGCACAGACAGGGGGTATGTATGGCGGGAAGCTGTTGTTCAACACAGTAGTGCTGATGATCTTGTGTTGGAGGTAGTGCTGGCAGTGTTCTATTCCGTGGGCTTGAGGCTGTTCAATAAGAGGATGAGTCTGCCTCTTTGTAGTATTAGTACTATATATCCATTCGATGGGTGTGACTCATGCATCGGTACCATGGTGACTACATTGCTTGGGGCGTACTGAGCCTGAAGCATGAGCTTCGCTCATGCTCCGGCAGGTTTTCCATCAGGGGGTTAGTGAGCGGTATAGGGGGGTATGGGGGGGTATAGGGGGGTTATGGGGGGGGTAATAACAAATGAGAACCTCGAAATGAAGAGATGCAAAGGTTTCCATCTAAAGACGGTTTGGACATGAGTCAGAGATACAGAAACCTTATGAAAAGGTGCATTGTGTGCCACCGATCAAAGATGGCACAGGTTCACCGGTGAGCGGCTCTGTAGATGCCGTCAGAGTCCGTTTGTAGGGGTTTCTTTCGATGGTCGGTCCGCACGCTGGAACCTGATGCAGCATCTGCAGAAGGCTGTGTGTCCTGTGCTTTCATGTGCCCAAGTTTGCCTTGAAAATCTGGAGCTGCGGGGTTACCACCTCTTATATGGGCTGTACTTCCAGTGAAGGAACCCTGAGCGGAGATGAGAGGAGAGGTAGCCATACCAAGAGCGACCTAAATAGCGCTCGAGGATCTGATGCTTTTGATGTTATGTTAGAAAAGAAAATCAGTTGGGCGCGGAAAATGGAATTGTGATTGTGTCGTCTCTTCTGCCCTAAATAGCACTTGCAACCTTGAGAACCTAGCGCTTGCGACCTAGAGAACCCGATTCTGTTCATGTGGAGCATTGTGCTTTTTGTTTTACTTTGCTTACTGCATCTGCACTCGCGGCCGTTGAATTCTATCCGTGCGGAGGATTGAGCTTGCTATTGAATCCGGTTCCTGTGGAGGAATGTGAGGTCAGGTGTAGATGTCAAAACAGGCGGTCTTGCTATGAACTAGTATGAAGAAGTAAAAAGTCCAAACTTTAAACCTTCGGGGATGGGCGGGCATGTTGTATCTGGACTCTTATGTTGCTCCCTAATTAAGCTTTTGTGTTTCTGTACCTTGGATGTTGGAGGTATCCCAGGTGGCTTGATCTGAGCTTTTTTTTTTTTTTTTTTTCGCTCGCGTTTTGTTTTTTCCTCTTAAGAACGATGGCCTTGAGATATCCTCGTTGAACTAACCAGCCCCAGGTAATTCAGAAAAATATCTTATTCTGTCATCAGATTGCGTCTGGATTTGAACTTGGCTCTGTATTTCGACAGTTCATGGGTGTATTGCAATCAGACTCGTTTTCAAACACACTTTTCATGCATGTAAACAGCAACGCAGCATACTGGCGACATGTGCCCACTCAAAACTCAGAGATATGGCTTTCAGATACGAGGTCACTCTCAATTGGCTATGGCGACTTCAGCGCCCAAACATCTCACTGTTCACATACACTGGATCACCCTGGATATCCCACACGCATCACTCTAACACTCGAGCACACACACACACTCACTACTAACTACAATTATGAAAGCTATGGCTGTCTAACCTATCGCTATGCTTCCTCCTCTTGTGCCCACTGCGTCCTCCGGGCTCATCTGCAGACCTCCTTGCACAAGTCGCTGTGGCAGCGCTTCCGCATGGCTCACGCAGGAATAAGTGAATGGCTGGGCGCTGCCTCTTGATTTATACTTCAGAAATTCGTTGGTCTGCCCTTTGCCATCGGCCCTTGGTGCTCACAGTCCCCCTGTGGTACTTGCTGGACTGGACTGGGACTCTCTAGACCCTTCTCCTGACTGTAGGCAGTCGTACCGTCGACTCAGTGCAGTTGCACTGAGGTCCTACCTGTTGACCTTGCCACTTGTCTTCGTCTGAAAACGTGGGCCTACCTTAGACTCACCACTTGACCACTTGCCGACCTTCTAGAAGGACTAAAGCTAGGCCTCTGGACTCTACTTGGACTCCTACCTTACAGGTCTACAGTTCGAATCTCCCTACAGCCTACAACCTACGGCGACCTACTTACCACTGGCTATCGTGCAGGTCACGGGTTCAACTCCAGGGAACTGTGCAGATACTGTACACAGGTAAGCTGAGGTCAAAGGATCGACCCCTGGGATCTGCATCGGCTACTGCCAAAGGTGAAAACTGTTTCAGTATCAACTGAGCTAGGCCCGTTGGCTGAACTGGGCTTTTCTCACATTTATCGTATATGGATATACTTTTGTGAACACGGGAAAGATTGATGAAGGCAACGGTATGGAGTTGTACTAGCATTGTGTGCACATCTTTCTTCATTGGCGTTGTGTGGACATGCGCACAACCAGATTACGAGGCGTGCTTTTTTTAATGGTAACTCTCACTTTGTGTGCATCAGCAAGGGTTAGCAAACAGCTCTCGCCGGGGCACTTGCTGCATTGTGTATTTTCGCTTTGAAATTCGACCTTTGGTTATTGTAGCACTGAAGAAGTGGTTGCGAAGTATGAACTGGATGCTGATTGTTGCAAACTTGTGTGGTTCTAACCAGAGTCATGCCATGGCGTCTTCCAGTAATCGCGACCTATGGAGTGAGTATGTACGTAGGTTCAGCATGAGCCCCCATGCGACAGAACTATATTGCATTGTGGAGTGGTGGTGGATGAATGACAGCATAGATCCGGACAGACAGATCGCAGCAGAACAGTGCGGCGAGAGCAGCAGCAGACTCATTTGGAAGTGGATTCACGAAATTCTGCATTTTTGATTCATGTGGGCCTGTCTTTGCCTTCTGGCGTCTGTTTCCGCAGCAAGCGCCCTCCTGTTGATGAATTCCGGATTGAGGTCGTCTGGAGGAGGGGGGTGCACCAGAGGGAATTCTGGGTCAGGCGGAGTAGTGGCTTCCCGACACACACAAAGACGTCCGTACATTCATCCATTGGATTCGGATACTGAATAGTGAAATCCGTTGGATTCGTTCTGTTACATTCGTTCATCCCCCGGAATCTGAACAGTTTCAATTGGTTTGATCTCTGCCCTGTGTGCTCATGAACAAACTGGGTATGTGGCAGACTGCGAAGCAGGGCAAGCAGTCGCCTGCGAGTTGTGTCGGAAGCAAGCAACAATTAAAGCGCTTCGGAGCTCTTTATGATTGCCGGTACTTTACGTTCCCTCTCTTAAGAAAGCTCTTTAGCCAAGCGTTTCCAACCGTTTGCTGACATCTTGTAGAAACGAGATACGCTGTGCTGTCTTGTGCGTTCTGCATGCCATGTCAGTGAGTGCAACTCCTTGCAGGTGACACTCATGGTGGACAGATACAGATGCTGCCTCAGCTGGCTGTGAAAGTGCAATTCCTCTGGGTGGGAGGAAAGTGCATTGATAGAATTTATGAACGGCGGGGAGGAGGCCAGGACATGATGTGACGCTCGCCAACAAGCCTATTGGGGTGTTTGTGGGCGATTGTTGGTGGTATCTGCAGCCAGCTGAAACCCTCAGTGCATTGCAGGATCATGTCCGTTGTGGGATCTCTGGTCGAGGGGCGACAGTGGTGCTGCGCTCAGCTGGCTGTGCAGTGCAACTGCTGTTATTGGATGGGATAAAAGAGCATTGTTTGAATTATGAGTAGGATGGAGGAGGTTACTGTTTTCCCTGAGAGGTTGAGCGAAACGATTCTTTTCCCCGAGAGGTTGAGGGAAACAATTCTTTTCCCAGAGAGGTCGAGTCCCTTGGATTGGAGGAAAAGAGAGCATTGTTTGAAAGCAATGGAGGAGGTTAGAAAAACCCTGAATCATTGCTCGCCAACTATATGGGGACGGTTGTTTGTGGTAGCCGCAGCTGCAACCAAGCATTTTGGCAGAAATGTTGTCTGTCAGTCAGTCTAGGTATTGGCCCCAGCAGGAGCTGTACTTCGCATTTTCTTGTTTCCGACTTTCAGTAATAGTTTTGCACGCGCGCTGAAGTGTGTAAACGTGTAAAGGGTATTTCTTTTCTATTATGAATCGAATCGAATCGAATCAGGAGCCGCAACGGTGCCGGCATCAAGTGGCCGCCATTTTGCTTCAGGCCTTAGTTCTTGCAACAGAGACCAGGGTTATTTTTGCTCGCATTTGTTGCACATGGAGGCAATGAATCCATTCTTTTTCCTGAGTGGCCGAGTCCCTCGGGGCTGCAGAGACCCCTTTGCAGGTGAGCCAATCGTGTTCTTTGGAACAAGAGAAGGTCATGAAGTATGCGGTGGACGAGGATGATTTTTCAGCCTATGAGGAAGTGTGTCGCATGCCCGCAGTTACGGTGAGCAGATGAGCAGTATATGGCTACCATGGAGGCGAAGTCTGTGGTACCAGAGTGATTACGATAGCAGCACTGACCAGAACAGTCATGACAGTGGTGACAATGTATGTGTGAGCATCAGTGATTGCTAGCGGGAAAGTGTCGGGACGTGGCTACGATGAAGAGCTGCGTGTCGTAAGGGTGATTAAGGGCATGCTCACGCGTTGCGATTTTTTTACCTATTTCAGGACGGAATTGCGGCGAGATGCGTGCAGGTGCGGGCTGTAAATGCGGTCATCTACGTGTAAGGTAGTGCCAGTGTGATACACCCTGACACTGCTAGACAGAGGAGGGAAGAGGGATGGCCATTCGATATGGAGGGAGGGAAAGATGTTCTCCCGCTTTCTCATTTTCCCCTCCATTAAGAAAAACAGGAATGGGCAATTTTAAGCAGGACGTGTAGAGGATTCTCTCTGATCAGAGCTTGTGGGTTAGATAGCGCTGCTCCGTTTAGAATGCTGACAAGAACCTCTGCGCAGATGCATTGTGGATCGGGGAGGAAGTGATGCCATTGCATGTGAGGAGGGGAAAAGGGTGTTTGCCGGAGCGTTCACGGGCTTCTGGCGCTGGAAGTCCTCGGAACAATGAGTCGACAGCTTGTGCATATTCTGATGTTGTCAGAATGACGAGTGAAAAAGATGCCGCCAAGGCCCCTAGTGCATCATTCGCATGTGGATGGGACTCGTAGATGGAGGACAAGGGGTGCCAACTTCATGCAGGAAGAGAAGCGTGTTTGAATATGCTGCTGTTACTCTGGAGGTCAGTGCAGTTTGTGCACTCAAAAGCTGGAGATGAAGAAGACCCTCTCTGGAAGGCAGCTTGTGCATTCGATGATGGTGCTGACCTGAGAATAGTGACAGGGAAACTCTCTCCTGGATGATGCAACTTCAGCACAATCTACCTTGAGGTCAGTGTTTCGTGAACTCCCTATGTTTTCAGTTGCCTTTTTTTCTTTCTTTCAGCGCACCGCTTCCAACCTTTCTTTGATGATGATCCAACTCCTGCAAACACTTCAAACCTGAGTGCTATTGCCTACCGTCGTCCCCCCGAACATAACGCACCC